CCCTAGAACAGAACCCTAAATCGGGACCCTAAAGCAGGATGCTGAGGGCAGAGAAGGGAATTGTGGGGGTTCAGGGAATGCTGACATCCCTGCTGAGGCCATCCCTGGCCTGTGCCAAGGTGGGAATTGCATCAACACCGTGGGATCCTACGAGTGCAAATGTCCTGCAGGGCACAGGCAGAGCGAGAGCAGCCACAGGTGTGAAGGTAAGGGAGGCTCCACTTCCCAGGGAACTCAAATCCTGGTTTTTTTCCTCAAAGTGGAGATGGGACAGAGCTCCCATTCCAGGCTGGATCCCATTTCCCAGCCCAGCCCAGGGAATTCAAATCCTGTTTTTTTTTTCCCAAAGTGGAGATGGGACAGAGCTCCCATTCCAGGCTGATCCCATTGCCCAGCCCAGCCCAGCCCAGGGAATTCAAATCCTGTTTTTTTTTTCCCAAAGTGGAGATGGGACAGAGCTCCCATTCCAGGCTGGATCCCATTTCCCAGCCCAGCCCAGCCCAGGGAATTCAAATCCTGGTTTGTTTTTTTTTTCTCAAAGTGGAGATGGGACAGAGCTCCCATTCCAGGCTGATCCCATTGCCCAGCCCAGCCCTGCCAAAGGGATTTTTCATCTCCTTCCCAAAGATCAAGGAAATGAGGAATAGGCCTGGCCTGATCTCCTCATCTTCCTTCAAATCAGAAGGAAATGGTTTGGTTTGTTCCCAGAGGGAATTTTTTAGGGATGTTTGAAGGGGAACACACTGATGGCACAAGGAGGGACCTCTGGAAGGGTTTAGGCTCAGCTCAGGGCTGCCTCCAAAGCTCTGCCTGGCTTCTGAGTCTGACCAAGCCTTGAAAACTCAACAGCTTTTTAATTTCGAGGCTCTTCATTAGGGCTGTGAGGATTTAATCACGGTGAAATGGGAAATCAGGTGGTGGTGGGAGCTCTGGGAGAGCTCTGGAAACCCCTGGAATTGGGATGAGATGATTTTCAAGATCCTTCCCAACCCAGAGCACTCCAGGATTCTGTGCCCTGGGTTCAGCCCCTCGGGAAATCTTTACCAAAGAGAGGCAGGAGCTGCAGAGGTCAATCCCTGCTGGGGGATGGACATTCCTTCATCCCAGGAAACATCTGTGTCTGAGCATCTTCCTGGGCAGGCCGCCAGGAGACTTCCTCTAAAATCCACTCCGAATTCCTGCAGAGCTCCCACAGCCCGGGATTGAAAGCAGGAGAATCCAAACCATCCCTTTTTATTTTTTTTTTTTATTTATTTAATTTTTTTTTGGTGTTGTTGTTGTTTTGTGTGTGTGTCGGGGTGAAGGAGCAGCTCCCCAATTCCAACGATATTCCAGGAATTTTCGTGGCCAAGGTGGGAGCAGGGGGAGCAGAGCACATGTGAAAACAGTTGGGCTGGAAAATCTCCTCCATCCCGAGATTAAACCAAATCCATCGTGTGGATCTGTCCTCCAGATGTGAGGGGCCTCCCAATTCCCCCACACATCTCCCCTTCCCCGTGCTGCCCCAAAAAAAAGGGACAATTCCAGCATTCCCGGGGGCTCCTCCATCCCAGGTGGGATCAGGAGGGCAGGAGGATTCCCTCTGGATCTGGGATTTTTGCTGGGAATGAATGACACGGACGGCAGGGATGCTCCCAAGGGTTTGAGGGCTCCTCTCCCAACTCTGCCACCCCACAGGGCCAGCAGGAGGATCCCAAAAAGTGGAATCACCTTTGGGATTCCCTAAAAATGATGTGGATACGGAGAGGGTTCCTCTCCCTCTTTATGGACACAAAAAGGGTTTGGGGCCCCGAAAAATCTCCTGTGAGTTTCCTGCACCCTTTGATCCATCAGGAATTTGGTCCAGCAGATGGAGAATCGAATTCCCGAGCTTCCCATTCCTGCTGGAACTGCCAAAATCTGTGCCTTGGTGCGGGTTCTGTCCTCTCTGAGCCCCGGGGTTTGATCAGAGCAGCACCAGAGGATGGATTCGTTATCCCGGTGTTCTCCAGGCTCCAAATCCCAGCTGGTGCCGTTCTGGGTTCATTTTCTGGGGAAAGGAGGGAATTCTCTGCTTCCCTCTCTTTTTCAGATTCCCCATCCGAGCCTGGCATCCAGGGAATATCGATTAAACCTCGATTAAACCTCGATTAAACCTCGATTAAACCTCTCTGGGAGATTCTCCCCGGCTTCCCAGAGCTCGTGTTTTGTGCTGGGGGGGGAATTCCCGGTGGGAAAGCAGCAGCTGGGATTGTGCTGGAGCCGGAGCTCATTAGCGGTGTCCCCTCATTAGCGGTGTCCCCTCATTAACGATGTCCCCTCATTAACGCCACCATCCCGCTGACACGCAGAGATAACAGCGGTGCCTTCCTGATCTCCAACTCTTGGAATTCTCTCCCCGGGAGGATAAGGACGATTTTTTCCCAAGGCTGATATTCCCACTCTGAGAACTGCAGCTGGATATTCCCCAGCACGGAATTCCCTCGCTCCAGCAGGAAAATCGATCCTTTTCCTCTCGGGGAAACGCAAACCCCACAGATCCAGCCGGGATTTATGGCTGAACCTCCTCCAAAAATGCGAGGATTTTCCTTCAGCTCATCCCCCAGGGATGGGGACATTTCCAGAGGGTGGCTCGTGTTATCCCATTGTCCATTGTATTCCGAGGGATGAGGAGAATTTCTGGCACCGCTCGTTTTCTGGAGCAGGCTGGGAAGAAGGAAATTCTGAATTTAGGGAGGGGAGAGTTCAGGCTGCTCCCTAAAATCCTCTGGAGACGAGGTGGGCTCGGGAAGCACCGAAAATTGAGTTTGTGTCGTGCAAAAAATTGAGTTTGTGTCGTGCAGAATTTGCTGAGGTTTTAAGGGAATGAGAGGCAGGGGAGAAGGGCAGGTCTGGATCCTCGGAGGGAGGAAAAATCGGTGAAAATTCCCGGTGCAGAGTGGAGAGAGGGAACATCAAAGCTGAACTCGGACACATCCTGCTGCTCCAGAGACCTGGATCCATAAATCCCAGCGAAATGGGGGCTGTGGCATTTTTAAATTATCCTGGAAAAATGACACCGGAGGGAACAATTCCGTGGTGTGGAGTTAAGGGGAGGAATCACTGGCTGGACAAAGCTTTTCCTGCCATAATTCCGGGGTTTCTCTGCCAAGAATTTCACTTTTTTTTTTTTTAACAGCCCTTCCTGTGCTGCAGGACAAAGGCCAAGCTGTGCTATCAGTGAGGTAATGCCCAGGGCCTCATCCAGGATGCTTCCCAAAGGATGCATCCAAAATCCATCCAGGGTGATAAGAGACAACAACAACAACAAAAAAAATAAATTAAAAAAAAAAAAAAAAAAAATCCATGGAGAGACACCAGGAAAGGGAGTGGAAAGCTGTGTGCAACCACCTCAGCCAGGATTTGCCCATTTTTGGCCTCTCCAGGATTTTCTGCCAGAGGGGAAAAAAATCCTGGGATTCCAAACCTCACCAATTCTCCTCACCCTTTCAGATGTGAGGTGCTCCTTTTGTCCTTCCCCCACAGGCCAGGGCACAAAATCCTGAATTTCCTGATATTCCTGCACCAGAGGGAGCTTCCCAGAGTTTTCCATTCTGGAAAACGAAGGGTTTTTCATAATCTTTGGTATGGATGGAACCCCAAAACCATTTTCTTTCCATTTCCTCACTAAACCCCTCCGAGGAGCTCCTTGCTTGGCTCCACCCAGAGCTCATTTCCCTGGATTTGGGAGGTTTGGAGGTTCCATTCCCTGAGGGAACCCCAAAACTCATCCCCTGGGGTGTTTTTCCTCTCTAAAATCCTGAGTTTTTAGCACACGTGGGGTTCCCACAGCTCAGTGTGGGATGAGCTCTGCATTTTGGCTTTTCCAGCTTTTTTTTTCAGCCTTAAGGACGAAGCCAATTCCAACCCCAACCCGGCTCCAAAATCAACTTGATTTTGATTTTTTTTTTGAAACTTTGCTTGAATCCTGCCATTGTCTGAGCAGCAGAGCACAGGATCCTGCTTTAATTCCCAACAGAAGGTTGGAAAAGCCAGGCTGGAGCTGGCAGGGTTCCCTCCCCAGCTCTGGGTGTTAATGAGAGGGGAATGAACCCACGGGGCTCCAAAGCACCACGGGACCCTCACTCAGGGAAAAAAAAAAAAAAAAAAACAGAAGGGAAATGTGCTGGGGAAAAGCTGAAAGCACAACAAAGCCCAGGATGTGCAGTCCTGGAGATTTTTTTTTTTTTTTTCCTGCTCTTCTCAGCCCTGGGGTTTTCAAAAATGGGAAGAAAAAGAAAAAAAAATTTAATTGAAGTTTAATTGAAGCTCTTGGATTCTGGGTTTTTTTTCATAGGAATGGGATTCAGTGCTGCCCTGGGCTGAGTGAGGGGTGCCAGAGGCACAGATCTGTCAGCAGCACCC